ACATGATTAGTGGACTATATGGACAATCTGTTCCTATGCCAATTCCTTCTCTCTCAAAACAATTGAATAAAAATTTAATTAAATCATAAAAAAAGTTTGACATATCTTCATTTATATGATTGTGATCAAAATACTAAAAAAATGAAATATAAAAATCTATCGTTTTCGGAAAAGAAATAAATATGCATAGTTAAATAATGAATTAATGAGTAGCATATACATACCTTCACTTGTGTCATCTTAAAGAAATTTTTGAAAAAAAAAATATTAAAAGAAAAAACCAATAAATGTGTGTCTCAAAAGTTAGAAATGAGAAATTTTGTTTCCATTAATTATTTGCAAAAACGATTTTTTTATTTGTTTTTGATTTTCTAGAATTACTCTTACAATTATCATGTATAAATAAATAAATATAAATAATACTAATAAATATTTGCCTGTGATAATTACAAGCTTAAAAACTTTTGTTTTGTATTATATACAGGGAAGAATAGCTCAGGATATGGAGCTTTTAGGGCCAATCCTTGAAGTGATGAAGTGGCTTGGGGATCTAACATTGAGATACTTAGACAATCATCGAAAACTTGAAGAAAATGTGAATGATCTCAGAAGAAAACTGAATGATCTAAACATCCGTAAGCAAGATATAGAATCAAGAAAGGACGTTCAACTTCGTTGTAGGAAAGTGGTGAAGAAAGAAGTGGAGAAATGGTTTCAAGATGTACAAAGGATGAATGCCTTAATGCAAAGGGTTGAACAGGAGTTACTTGTTGTTTCCTACTTGAGGCGTGCTGGCCTTGGAACACTTGTTCGCCAAGGTATTGAAGAAGCACAGGAAATTTATAAACAAGGTTGTTTCCCTGATGGTGTGGCCATTGATGGGCCTCCAGCAGCTGGGGTGACATTCCAGACAGTAGATTTAGAAGGTGAAGCTGATGTAAAAGAGCAAATCTGGGGATGCTTGAGGGGCAATGAGGTTGGAATGGTTGGAGTATGTGGAATGGGTGGCATAGGTAAAACTACCATCATGAAGCATGTCAACAATCAACTATTGAAAGAGAGTCGGTTTGATCAAGTAATTTGGGTCAATGTATCAAAAGAGTTCAATCTTGTCAAGTTACAAGAAGATATTGCATGTGCCCTGGATTATCATCTTCCTAAAAATGAATTGGAATGGCCAATTGCATTGATGAACATCTTGGAGACGAAGAGATTTATGATGATCTTAGATGATGTTTGGGAAAGATTTTCTCTGTTAGATGTGGGAATCCCAAATCCAACATCAACCAATGGGAGCAAATTGGTGATCACTAGTAGATCATTTGAGGTTTGCAAATCTATGGGTTGTGAGGTGCTCAAAGTGCAGCCTCTTTCGGAGGGGGAATCCTTAAACTTATTCTTAAAACATGTAGGGCATAATAATGTTCTACAAGTTCCAAATTTAGAAGAAACTGTGAAGCAAATTGTTCAGCAATGTGGTGGTCTACCTCTTGCCATTGTGACAATAGCTGGAAGCATGAAAGGAGTAGATGACGATTGCGAGTGGAGGAATGTGCTAAATGAATTACGCGAAAGGGTAAAAAGTGTAAAAGGAATTGAGGTTAAAATATTCGAGTGTTTGAAGTTTAGTTATGATCGTTTGAGAGACTCAAAAATACAAAATTGTTTCTTATATTGCTCCTTGTATCCTGAAGATTATCCAATTAAAAGGATGGAGTTAATGGAAAAATGGATCGATGAAGGACTTATTGATGAATTTGTGACTAGACAAGCAATGCATTATAGAGGCCATAGCATTATAAAGAAGCTTGAAAATAATTGCTTGTTAGAGAGGGGTAACAAAGAGGATGAAGTTAAGATGCATGATGTTTTAAGAGACATGGGGTTACTCATTATTAAAAGTGTTGGCCACCAATTCATGGTTAAAGCTGGTGTGCAACTGAAGAAACTACCAGGTGAACAAGAATGGAAAGGAAATCTTGAAAAGGTATCCCTGATGGATAACAAAATATCAGCAATTCCGGCTCATATATCACCCAAATGCCATAATTTGTCAACCCTGTTATTGCAAGTACACATTGGGAAGGATTTCAGAATCTTTCTTTGAGCACATGCTTGGGCTAAAAGTTCTCGATCTATCTAATACCGGTATTCTTGATCTGCCCGATTCTGTAACCAACTTGGAAAATCTTGTTGCACTGGTACTTCGAAACTGTGACAAGTTAAGACATGTATGTTCACTAGCAAAGCTTAGAGCATTGAGAAAGTTGGATCTTTTTAATACAGATATTAAGGAGGTCCCTCAAGGTATAGAAACATTAGCAAACCTCACCTATCTTGGTTTATATTCAAATGATCTGACAGAGCTACCAATGGGAATACTACCGATGTTTTCTCATCTCCAATACTTGGCAACCATGTTGTTGAATATTCAAGGAGAAGAAGTAGCAAAATTGAGTGAGCTGGAGATTGTTTCTGGATCATTTTTTGAGTTGCAAGACTTTGAGAAATATGCCAAGTCTATATTAGGTCACTGGCCTAACCATTACCGGCTTGCAGTGGGATCAACTAGGCCCGACTACTTAGACTACGATGATTGGTTCCCATGTTTCGAAAATCCGGAACTGTATGAAGAGTTATGCTTTATTAATTGCCAGATAGGGAGAGAAGATCTTCTACTGCTCCCAACTAACCTCAGCACTTTAAGTATTGAGGAGTGCCATGTATTCAAAAGCTTAAGCAATCTTTGTTCATTGCATGAAGTAAATGAGTTGAAGACATGTTCTATTTGGCAGTGTGAGGGGATTGAGTGTGTGATTGACTTGTCATTATCATCTAGCAACTCACTTCCGAAAATCGAGAAGCTAAGCTTGGGGGATTTGTGCAACTTGAGTGAACTTGTGAGAGTAGAAGTTGCCGTTGTATCTACATCTCATGCTCGAACCCCGCCCGCCATGTTCTCTTCTCTTAAAACATTATGCTTGTGGAGCTGTTCCAGTATGAAGAACTTGTTTTCACTTGAGTTGTTGCAAGGCCTTCAAAACTTGGTGCATATCCAAGTTGTAAACTGTAAAGCAATGGAGAAGATAGTAGCATCAGAAGAAACTCATCATGGAGAAGGAGAGGGTGCCACTACCAACATAGCAACATCTGTTCTTCCCAAATTAAGGGAATTGTCCTTGCAGTACTTGCCAGAATTAAAGATCATTTGTAATGGTGGAGTTATGATTTCTGCATATTGCCTGGAACATCTGTCAATAATGGATTGTTCAATGCTGAAGAAAATCCCATTATCTCTTCCCATGCTTGATAATGGACAACCACGTGCTCCTCCCTCCCTCGGACGGATCACTGTAGGCTCAAGAGAATGGTGGGAATCAGTAGAATGGGATGATGCTAATGCTAAGGATGTCCTTTCACCCTTTGTTTGTTTTGAATAGAATGGGCCTCAGCATCTCAATGACTGGTGAGTAGTCTTGCTTCTTCTTAAGACCTAGCTATAACAGCCAGCTGATCCACCATAAATCCTTTCTCATTGTCCCCCTCAAAGGTTTACTAATTTTCACAATTTTCAGGTACATTTGCAGATTGGCAAGAAATTGTTGTGAGGAGGCATTTCAAATTTCAAGGAGTTTCAGATTCAGAAATGAAGTGAACATGATTGTTGCTTTGGAGGGGATAAGAAAATACTGACTCAAAAAGTTCATGCATGCCTCTTGGACTTCTTCACATCTAATAGGTTTTCAACATTTTATCTATTTTTTTCTATTTTAATTATTATGTAAATTTAAGCAAAAATTACTTATAAACAATTACATATTAAATTTCATATAATTATTGGTTGGATTGATCTAGAAACATAAATGCATAACCTATTTTTTATCTATACTAGTTTTTGCTACATTTACAATTTTATACACGAAATTTAATATTTAGAAAATAATTTTAAAAAAAAGTGATTTTAACTTAAATTGGAAATTAATTGGTCTTCTTGTATTTTAAAAAATTTCTCTTTTTTTTTTGGGCCATCACATTTTTAAAAAATTCTAATAAATTAAAATTTTATATATGAAATTTAATTGTAACCATTAGTAAGTTATCTCAAATTTTATTAATTCTTGTATTTTACTTCCACTAAAATATAAAAAAGTAAGTAAAATTATTAGAAATAAATTCAAAATTTTTATTTTTTTAAAACTCCATTAATTATAAAAGAAATACTTAAATTGAGTTTTTTATAATTTTGTAAGGTATTTAAATATATTTAAAAAAAAACTAAATAATGATTCACAATAAAAATATGAAATTATTATACCAATATTATTGATAGTTAATATAATAAATTTGCTCCCATTAAGCATAAATCTTGATTTCGTTCCTAGGATCATTAATACATTTTGAGAGATAAAATTGACAATAAATCGAATCAAAATAAATTTTACTTATTTCAAATTAAACCCGATTTTATAATCATAAAACTCAAATTCGATCCGAAAATTTTTTATTTTTTTTTGCACGAATTCAATCCAATCCGATATTATATAAATCGTATCTAATCTTACATGAAATTAATAAAATATTATTTTTAAATATAAAATATTATTTTTTAAATATAATTATATAAATATATATAATTAATTAATTAATTAAAAAATAATTTTTATATAATATCATATTGAATTTACTTAAAATTCGACCTGATCCAAAATTCGATTTAAAAAAAAAAAAATTTGATCCTTAGACCAAGACGAAACTCATAAAAAAATGAGTTGGACTGCCAACCTATTGGGAGATATATTTAAAAAACAAATTGCATAATTCTTCTGAGGCAAGGCCCCTAGCTAGGAAAACAGGACGAGAGACATAATAATATTATTTTCAATATGTTATATATGGAAGTATAAATTAGCAAAACTGAAAAGAAAACCGGGACTAATATTACTAGGACGAAAGCAGTTAGGCACAATAACAAGTGAAAATTCCAAGCTTCAAACAGGGTATTAAACCAATACACGTGATGCATCAATTCTATAATAAGTTTCAGGTTCAGCTATTGGGATTTCTAATTGTAGCAAAGTGTGAAAAAAAGTTTGGCAATGTCGATTCACCAAGACTTATTAGGTTTGACATAGTTGAATAATGTCGCATATCAAGCAAGCTGTAGATCAGATGACACATAAAACAAGCTGTCTCTGAATACGTAGGAGGATAGACAGACTGAGGAATATTCAGACGTTCATTACTAACATTGACTTCAAGCACAAGCACATATGCAGTTTGTGTATAGATGCTGATGAAAGATGTGCAGAGATTCTTGAAATAACAATGTTTTCAGGCTCCAGATCCCACCAGTCGATACGATCCAACTAAGCTAGGATGATTTTCACAGCTCCACGATAAGCTTGAATGGACCAGGTCAGCTGACAAGAAAAGAAATACCTTGGAATTAACAGTAAATCCGTATAATAATTCAAAGCACACGTTTAATAGGCAAGGAAGTATTAAAGGAAGGAATTACCCTTGGAAGAATTTCAGATTTCATTGTGAGGCTTCAACCTCAGCAACTCCACCTGTGGGCCCGTAGTTTGATTCATTCACAGAAGCATCTATGCAAGGGCTGTTCTTAAACTGCTCCACATGTTGGGGGTCCATCAATGAGGAAGGAACTTTTGAGACCTGGTGAGTAAGGTTTTGTTTAACTTGTGAATTGTCTGATAAGCAACCCATTGGCAAACTCATTAAACCTGCTGATTTGTGTTCACATGCGAACTTTGTGGAAGCAGGTGATTCAGGTGTCTCAGGATGCTTTACTGACAACTCCAGAGGCCGATGGAAGAGTAAATGAGCAATGGTACGGTCTATGGGATTGGTCTCTGTTTCAGCGTCGGACATCCTGTACCATTTCATTCAAGAAGAATGAGAGGCATAAAATGCAGCATTAAGGGTTATAAATGGATATTAAGTTAAAAGAGCTGTTGATTAAGGGAAAGAACCTGAAAAGTTTAGAAAAATTACTTCAAAATGAAATAATATAAATATTAACCAATAAATAAAAACCAATTGAAGCCATATTAATGCTTTTGAGTTTGTTTGACGGTGATCAAATCAGGAAAACTCATGAAATCTCCGCAGAGGAGCAGATAATCCGTAAACACAACTGAGCAAGCATGTACTTACTCTAACTTATACAAGAAGCAAAAACCCTGGCTGTTAGTGACATAAAAACTAAAATAAAATTGAGACAGCAGAAAACACATATTTATAGCTTGTCATTTAGCAGACACTAGTAAAAGGGAAAGGTGGTGATTGAATGTTGACAAGAAATCCCTCCCACGATACTGTAATGGAATGAGATAGTGTGGATAAAAGGATTCTGCTAGACACAGTTGCATTGTTGGATTCATTAAGACTAGAATTCCAGTTGTCAAACACTCTATAATAGCATATTGCTAGTTATCAATGTCCTATAGTGCATTATTATGGCAAACCATTGTCAGAATTCATCCTTTTTATAGTACAAACCATAATTAAACCATGCTATTCAAAGTGCAAGTATCAACAAATTTTCATAAAGCAAGACAAGAAAAAGATCGTCAATTCACCGACCAGGAAAACAAAAGAAAAGAAAAAGGAACTTTAATCAAAAACCTTTCCTTTTTTATCTATATTTTTCATCTTGGCTCAAAATACATTGATGCCTCAGTAATTCCGCATTCAGCCATTAATAGTACAAATCTTAGGTCCAGTGCTATTTAATTTTAGTAAAACCTTTGGAGAGTTCATGACAGAGACTAACCTTTCGAAGGATAACATAAAATCAGTTTCGCATTTGAAATAAATATAAATGCAACAGCATAGAGTTTACTAACCTGTTATGGTGCTTATTTTCTTCTTTTAAAACTTCATTTTCATCCCTGCCATTTTTGTTAGTGCTGCTTGTGTCACTAGCATAATGTCTCTGCATTGCACTTTGAGCCAACCGGAACAAGCTATCTCTTATGCAAAGTCTAACTCTCACATCCAACTGCAAAAATTGATTTCTTGATGTCAGTAATTCCTTATTACCAAGCAAGGAAAGAACTTCACCAGAAAGTCAAGCATACCTTTGCAATTACATCTTGTAGCTGATAAAGTACCGTGTCCCCCACTGAATAGTCATCAATTGCAATAGAGACTGTATTAGAATCATCTTGCTCTAGAGGCGAGTTAGGGTCAAAAGAGGCAAGAGTGCTAAGGTCTTCAACATCAGTTCCCTCAACAAGCTGAAATTGATTTTCTTGAGTTGACTTTGGAATGAGAAATTGATTGGTACAAGGAACTTCATGCGTAAACTGCTGTTGTTGTTTCTGAATGGCAAGCAGTGCTTGCATTTGCTGGCGCCGCCTCAATTTTTCAATTTTTTCTTGAGGTGTCATTCTCAAGGGTTTTGTAGCAGCCTCAAATGACCTGTTTAAAGGATTTGCCTTTCCAGGGGAAACATCATAACAAGAAAGTAAGGGTTGCTGATTAAATTCCCCATACTGGATGTTGGACAACACAGGTATTGCAGGATATTGGTTTGTAAGATTCCCATACGTGGCTGCAAATGTATTGGAGATGTGTTGGTACTGCAGTAAGTCAGATCCTCGAAGCTGCCTCTGCTGACTCACAACCGAAGATGGAGAAGATTTTACCATCGAGGTTGCCAAATTATTCTCATACTGAGCCAATGGGTTCCCAGTTGGAGTCCAGGTACATAAATCCTGTACTTGTTTTGCCTCACCTATTTCTTCAGCTTTTCTTCGAAATTTCAACAGCTTTTTCTGCCTATATGCCTGCACAGAGAAGTATTAAAATAAAAATAACAGTCACATCTTGAAGAAAACACCTAAATTTACAATGCCAGTAAATTAACGCAATAATTTATATATTGTTTATTCACAGCAGCCTCCAAATTTCCCAGACCCCTAGGGGAAAAAAAGAGGAAAGAAGAGAGAATAGAACTCCTAAAGGTCTCCTTTTTTACTTTGGCTAAAGAGTGAAGTCAACATTTAAGGGAAAGCAATTACTCGAGCTTGAAGGAAAATTGAATATATCCAAACACATAAAAATTGCTTTTATACATGAATAAGTACAAGCTGTCTTTAGCAAGCTCTATCATTCCAAACTTCCATAGTTGTATAGACAATATAAATCAGTGACACTGTTGTCACTGTGTAGCTAGCAAACTTCAACATGTTCCAAATTAAGCTGCTGCCTGACGGTTATTTTTTATCAAATCTACATAACACCGAAAAGGTGGTCCTTTTTAGCTCAATAAATTATATATCAGACATTAGAACATGAGGTGGGATCCATTTACACAAGCTTAAGTTTTACACTCCTTTTTGACCTTTGGATCAAAATGGCTAAGATTAAAATTATTATTTTGATCCATGGATCAAAAAAGAGTGTACAACTTGCACAGGTATACTCTTTGAACATATATACAATGGTACATTCTCAGCATCTATTAGCAATTCCAAACTCCCAACTTATATCAACATCTACCAAAAGCTAGAATAAAATTTAACAGCAATATTGTCACAAGGGCTAGAAAGGTATTCTCTGTCTTCAATGAAAACCACATAATCACAGTTAAATGTCAAAGTTAAATATAACATCAGAATTAGACAAGGAGAAGAACTTTCTACCCAGATGGTTTTCATTGTTAGAGGTTTTCCATGACTAACAATACTGAGCCAAACCTGCTAATTAACAGGCACCTAATAAACAATTTCAACCCATCTATTTTGATTTATAGCTAACAAAATCATTTATTTAAAATATTCTGCACTGAAAGAAACTAGGCGCTTTCCCCTCTCTATATAGCACTACGGGAAAGGTTCGATAAACTTACACATATAGTTCTGTTAATGCACAATGAATGAGACATCATAAAAACTTGCCATCCCAGGACCACGGAAAATAGCATTTTGTTATAAATCTTGAAGAGAAACACCAGAAACCAAAGATAATATGAATAGTTAAGTATTAAAAGTAGGATAGGAATACCTTATCAACCAATTCATTAGGGGCCATAACTTTTTCTGTAAACAGGTGAGAGTTTGATGTACTAGTTTTTCCCTTAGTTTCCACATTCATCTGTGAAATCAAAAATAGAAATTATGTAATTACTTTGGATTGATTGTCTAAGTTAAAAGCATGAGTAACAAAGAATTGATCATACTGCATGTTAATATTCCACACCTGCTCCTCAATAATGGATTTACTCTTATCTCCATGAAATTCCACATTATGCAGACCATGAGATGTGCAACCATCCAGTTCTTCATAGATAAGAGTAAATGACTGGTTATCTTGTTGCTCGTATTCTCTTTTGATTTCCAAACTCTCAGATGTGCTCCTTAATGCTCCTAACCCCAGGTTAGGAGAATCCATAGTTGTAGGAAAGCATTTTCCTGGGCTGTTTGTTACCTCTTTAGATGAGGACCATAACTCATCAGCACTACCAAGACTTACATTGCCAAATATTGGGTCATCATTGCTGCAAAATCATCACTTGTGAGAATATTGAGTCAGATGGCTGCCATTGTATATGATAAAAAGGAGCAACAACTAAAGGTACATTCTGATTGGAGTTCTCTTTTTTGCCCCAGAAGGCGTTCAGGTGTATCGGACTCCTCAAAGATTTTTCTTATACTAGTTTGGAACGCTACTACCAAATCAAGGGAAACACATAACAAGTGTTATTAAATATGGACAACCGATTGATCAAACTGCTGCTGAAGTTTCAGCTTCTTAGTTCCAAATTCAAGGGTACATAGAATAGTTATAACTTGGACAATATAAGTAGAAAATTTCAAAGTCAAAAGTTCATGAAAACAAATGGTCATTTATGTGAAGACACAAAGGTTGTTCCATGGTGACAAAAGTTATCAACTTATGGTTACTTACCGAGTTCCAAATGAAATGTGAGTATCATAACATATACTACTTGCCTGACCGCACAAAGACCAATCTTCCAGATTAGATTGTCAAGACAATGCTTTCATAAGCTACAAGAAATGTATAAATTGTGCTTTACCTGAAAATTCGATCAAGATCATCAAAGCTTCCAATGTTAGCCCAGCTGTAGTCAACAAAATCACCTTGTTCTTTACCTTCATTGGGATTTTGAAAAACTTCAGGATCTTTACCATGTTCAAGCATCTCTGATGTTAAAAGAATGTGGATAATTAGTTATAAAACAATAAAAAAAAAAGTCATCAGCTTTAGTCTGAATAAAAAATATTCTCACCATTTTTTGAACAACAATTAGCTACTTCAACCAAATTATTAGAGACTTTGCTACCCATGGAATTCTGATCAGTTTTTTCTGCATTAGATAAAGAAAACTCTGGCCATGAGCCCATGCCAAATCCTGAGGTGGAAATCCTTCCATTGGCATTGAAATTGGAACTGCCTTCCAACTTTCTTCCATGAAGATCAACTTTATTCCCAGGTGTCTTTTGCTGGGTGGACTTTATGGTTGCAGTTTCTTGACTCCATTCCTTCTTAGCATGACAGCTTTCACTTCCCTCTTGATAAGGTACTATATGGTCATCAGTCTCACCACCCTCACCCCATATTATATTCGTTAGCTGAAAATATGACAAAAGGGTCCATATCATCACTCATATCACATACAAGAAGGTACTATTATATCTTTAAGCAATCAAAATAATGACATTTAAGTAAAAAAAAAAAAGACAATTCAAAAGATATATCAAAGCTGCAGCTCTCTTGTTTGGTGCATAGGTCTGCCTGATTAAATCAATTGTTATGCTTTTTGCTGCTTTCTAAAATAAATCACTGCCTACAATGATAATTTCACTATAGCAAAAAGACAGAAATTATTTAGAACTCAAGGTACCGGAAGGATAGGTTATGAGTTTCTTGAATGGAAATTATGAAAAAAAAAGAAATCATCAAACTCTCTCCCCACTCTCTCCCCAACCCAGATCATTACTTTGTTAACATGTGTCACAGCCTCATTTATTTAACAAAGCCTCTTGATGTTCTCTCCTTTTGGCTCAAATGTCTTGACTTCACTTAGCATCCGTTAAATCTTCCTTAAACATGATTTGATTCCAAAAATGTATTTGATCTCAGGAACTTTTGTTGTTTCTATGTTGATTATACCTAGTAGTGTTATATTATTTATTTTGAATCACAATCCAAAGAATCCTTCCGACGAATGTAACCTTAGATTAACTGCTTTCTATAAGCATACAGAGCAAAAATTTGCAAAAACAAAATAAAATACTTCATAATGTTGTCTCACTTGGATGTCAAGCTAAGAGATTCAACCTTAAAATCAATTACTTATTGATGGAGGAAACAAAAGTCACGGGCAAGGTGAGTTAGTACTTCAACCAGAAAAAAAGAAAAAGGACATCTGACACACAAAACTAAAAGATATTTAAGTAGCTGATTGGGAAGATATAGGACGACACTTTAAGTATATGTTTCATGAACTCCAAAAATTAACACACCAGATATAAAGGTAATACATATAGGATGGGAAAAAAATGATCCAACAAGTACTTAGATACTCCATTGACAAAGAGAGGTACCAAGATATATAGTAGATGTTTTTGGAATATCCTATTTGATTAGGTGCAAATATGCTCCGTTTTTCTGATGAGATTTTTGGGGGTTCTAGAAGGCCACAGGAACTCACCCATCCTAAATTTATCACGCGTCGTTAAGTCTTAAAATTCAAAACTGTTTCTTTTCTTTTTTTTTTCACATAGTAATCAACAATTAACACATACACGAAGGTAAGGGGAAGAGTACACATCACAAAGCAAACTGCTGCTTTTAAGAGGCTAGAATAAAGCCCAATTATAATCAACAGTTTAAAGTATTTGAATAAAGAGCTTTATCACATGTTAATCATCCTTTTTGTCAAGAGTATGATGCTACTACCCATGCAGCAGCAGACAATGTTACACAAGCTTCCCCAGCGTAGGAAATGAATCTGTTCAAAAATATTTCTGGGGAAGTTACTAATAAATAGCTCACTAATGTAGGCACAAAGGCTCAAGTGCTCCCAGATGTAAGGCAAAAGGGGAGAGAAAGACAAAGGAAAATCTACCTTAAGCTGCTAAAAGTAAAGATTAACAAAGACTCAAGCAGAATGGTTCACAGAACCCTTAACCATATGATATCAAGAACCATGCATGTTTACCTGTCGAATAAAAACCAAGGTAGGGTAGAAAGTTAATCACCCCTGTGACCTCGTGATTAAGGTGGCATGCAATTTCAGCTACGTATATAAGTTGTCTTGACATTGTAAATTTAGTATTCTATGTCAAAGTATGTGCTATTGCCTCCTCATGATGTAGAAAAAGTTTCTCAAGCAAAACACTTGAGAAATAATCTTAAATTTTTAATGAAATTTCCCCAAATCTCAACTCTCAATGGTCATTTCTCAGAATCAAAATCTCCAAAATCAAAGCCTCAACAATCAAATCTCCATAATTGATAAAACTCCAAACTTTATATTTCATAATCCAAACCTACTAGAAAATCAAATAATATGGGTCCTAAAATCTAAACCCTAAACCTTAATATAAGCTCTAAACTATCAAATATAACCAAAACGCAAATATTATTAACATAAATTGGCCTAAAATGTCATAAATATATTAAAAAAAAAAAGTTAACATATATAATATAACAAAATAGCAACATAAATCTTAAAAATTTAATCCCTCAAGTAGCTTCTATCCATCTTGGTTCAATAGGGCCGACCTTAAATATGTGCCCTAGCTGTTTAGAAGGCATAAGCAGGTTGCCTCAAGGCTTGGACAGCTTTATTAATTAAAAGAAAACTTCGCTTATAACCAAATTATTTTTTAGCTACAGGAATGATCTTGAATGACAACTATGCTTAAGTCTATTAACCAAGGACTCCCTTACTTTTACAATTAGAATAGTGATTCCAATACAAAGGGATACAAAGGGATTCCAAAACTACATCAAGTAAGAGAATCCCACTTAAAACTTTAGCTTTTACTCCTATCCTTAACCTTAAATATTTGGTTAACCTCTCTTTAAATGCTTCTCTGTTTCTAACACATTAAACGAAGCATTTTCTCACCTAAATTAAACTAAAAACCCTAGCCCTTCTGCTCTAAAATCCAGGCCCTAAACAATAATTTGTTTCACCTCTTGCTCTGTAAGTGATTTTAAGTAGGTTTCAGACTCTCATGAAGCACAGTTTCTCCTTTATACAATTACTGATTCACAATTTTGAATTATTTCAAGATAAAGTTTCTGATTCCACCAATTCTAAAATCCTAAACTCCTTCCATTACACGACATAGCCTGCCCCTTTCCCCTCAGACCTTCTAAATTCTTTCCAAATACAAATCATAATGCATTCATTCGCACCGTTCTTTCACTTCATCTAGTTTTCTGTTTTCAAGTTAAGTTGACAAGATGCTACAGAACTGAGAATAATACTCCCCATGAATATAAACCATTTACTTACTAGCAAAGTAGTTCAAGCCTCTTCGATTCTCATGTTTCACGGTTTCTAGCTCCTAACCCAGATAAATTCTTCACAATGAATTGTTTTAATACGTGATAAAGACAAAAACTCCATGTTCACCCCAGGAAAAAAAAATCCTTAAAAAATTTCTAGACTAAAATTGCTCTCAAGATTCCTGAATTATAGCTCACTTTATCCTATCACTTCATTGTCCTAGATCTCTAACATAGCCTCATTCCTATGTTAAGTATTGAAACTCCTCTTTACCTAAATCCAAGACTACAATTTTGCCTTCAAGCAAGAAAAAGATTGCATTTTTATGTCATAAGTCCTAAGAAAAAGTTACTATAATTGATAATTCGGACACAATCTTAATCGAAAATATTTCCTTAAATACAAACCTTAAAAAAAACACAGTTCAAATGAGAACACTGACAGAACATAAAAACAGAGCAATCTAAGCAATTCCCCGAATAAGTCAAACATAATTTTTCAATTAAATATATTCCAAGTACAATTATTTTAATATATTAAAATAAACAAGATAAATTAAAAAATGAAATTGACTACATATTTTGTGCATCAACATGCCCAAAAAATTAAAAATTAAAAAAAAAAAAAAACCAGAGCCATTTACAGAGTCTTTTTAACAAAAGAAAAGGTTAGATCTAATTACCTCTTCGTCGTTCCAATCAAACATCTCTAAAGAAACCGAGGCTAATCACAAATCCAAATCCAAATCCCAATTCAAAAGCATGTTCTAAAATTACTCCACACATCGCCAATTCCACCAAAATTTTAAAAAAAATAAAAAAAAAACCTAAAACAAGAAGAAATAAAACATACCCAGAAAAATTAAAATAAAATTATTTTCTTTGATTTTTATTTTTTTGGATAAACAGAGGAGTGACAAAACAATAAAGCAATGAAAGACGAAGATGAGAGTTACAGAGAAACAGAGAGAGAAAAAATTTTGGGGAAAGAGTTACTATTGTGGGACCCATTTCACGTGACGTCACTTTTCTTAAATGGCGGATAAGATGACACGTGTGAATAGGAGTATCCAAAGATGTGGCTAGGAATGAACTGATCTATTGCTAAGTTGTGATTGGGCCGCTTTGATTACATTTCAATTTCATTTGCATTTCAGTTTTATTTGCAGTTTTATTTTGAAATAAGGAGTTTAGTTTTTTGGTCAAATTTCATTTACATCCTTTATCTTTTAACATCTTTTCATGTAATTCCCTATAATTTTTTTAAATTCTTAATTGTTTATGATTTCAATTTTTTATCGTAAAGTCAATTGATACTAGCTAATATGATATTTATGGAAAAATATTTTACGATTAATTCATTATTTATCAATTAATTTTGTGAGAAATTAAAATTTTTAAATAAATATCATTATATATTTTAATATACATAACGATAAAATTTATAAGATTAATGAAAATTATACTCATTATGTATTTTAATATCATATAAATATTAATTTCAAAACCTCATAATAACATATTGAAACTAAAGAGGATTTTTCTTTATTTATAAGAGAGAGATTCAAACTCAAAATTTTAAAAACATAAAATTTTCATTGAACCCAACATTCATATGTAAAAGTTAGTAAATCATAGGGTGTTATTTACAAAAAAGATAAAAGTAACGAGGTATAAGCATAATTTTTTTGTCTTCTGCCTTGCCTTTTCATACTTCACGTTTTTATTTGGAATTTTGCTTGACTAGAAATGTCTAGGGTCCATAAAAAATAAAAGAAAATTTCTAGGGTTTGTTCTTAGTGACTTAGTGGTAGTGGCCAATTTGCTTGTTGCTTTCATGGTGTGGGAAAAGGACTAAAGCTTTATCCCCAAAATCTTATATAATCTAAAAATCTAAATATAAATTATATTCTTATTATAGTGTGATGTAGGATTCTTTTTTATACATACATATATTAAAACATTATGCTATAATTTGGATCTAACATTCACCAAACATTTTTATCCAAAAAAAGCATACATTTTATTTAATTTGATGGATAAGTTTTATTGATGTCATGTTGTCATCCATTTATTATATTTATATATATTTTTTTTATTCATAAAAGGACAAAAGCCCAAACCAAGAGAAAGAAAGATGAATACATCAAAATATTTTTTTGAAAATCTCTTAATCATTAAGTTAAGAGATGAAAAATTATAATTAAATGTAAAAAATAGATAAATAAAAAATTATAAATTCATCCCAAAAAATTAAATATAAAAAATTCACCCCTCAAATTGGAAATTCTCTTTCTTTATACCATAAAATAGATTTCAAAATAAATTTTATTTATTTATTTAATTATACCAACATGATTGAAGTGAAGTACCATACTTGATTTGTTAGAGATTCTCTTAAGTCCAAAGACATAATGGTCTTTTTGACATTTTTTTTCTTACAATTGATAAGCATTATATATTTTTTCTATGCAAAAACTATTTAATTGGATTCACAAGCAAATAATGTTTTTTCGTATAGCAATGAGTTGACTTTAACAAAATGAAAAATCACAATAATATCTCAATTAAAAAGAAAAATGATAGGATGAGAAAAGGGAAAATCCGAATTTGATCCCTATACTTTTTTAATTGTGTGATTTTGGTCCTCTTACTCTAACTTCAATAAATTTAATTCTTATATGGATAAAAATGTTAAAATTCTACAATTAAATTCGATTAGGTAAATTCTTATTGATGATGTAAAATTTTAACTTAAACTTTTTTTACCATGGGGCACATATTTGTTTGAAAAAAAAAACTATTTTATGAATTAAAAAATAAATGAAGTATATATTTGCATAAATTAAAAAGTAAATAATTTTAAGGTATATATCATTAAATTTAGATATAAATTATTTTTTTATTTAAGCATGTGGTATGGGTTTATTTTTCATTTATGAATTTTGTTTATTAATGTACAAATAAAGCAATATTAAATAAAATATTTTTCTGCATTCCTTATAACTTTTTTATTAATTTAAAAGTAAAATAGAAGATTGTTATTTCATTTATATGAAATAAAATCTATACTTTTTAGAATTATTAAAATTATTACGTCTGGTGCTGCAATATTATTAATTCAAACAAAATTAAAAACTTGCTTTCATTTTTTTCTTTAAAATTTGCAAAAAAAAAAAAAAAAATTTCTAAAATTTGCTTTTGCTCATTTTGGCAGATGAGAAGGGCTGGACGTTAGAAAATGGATCTACGGTTATACATTATGGGCTGCGGTATATTTATATTATATAAAATATTAAAAATTAAATTATATATTTATATAATATTTTATATAAAAATTATATATTATAATTTATATCGATACAAAAATATAAAATATATTTTTTAATTTTATTAAACATAAATATAATTTTTATTAAAATTTTAAATAATATTATTTTTATATATTTTTTCATGACGCATAGACCAACATTTAAAAGATATGATAAATCTTGTTCATAGTCTTGGTATTTTTATCATATATGTATAATTGCTTATAACCATATAGAGATATAAGAGTTAGGAAATAAGATAAGAAATGACTAAAGATGTTTGAGGATACATCAAAGATCTAATTTCGAGTTAAATTTTTTCGTCTCATTTACTTGTATTAGGGTTTTGCTTTTTAGATGTAACCAAAAAAATATATATGAGATTTTTGTTTAAATTTTTGTGATAATTAATTGATTTAATTTGAACATAGAGCAATAAGGAATTACTCAGTTTGTATCAATTCCCACCGATCTCATAAAGCAAAATGCCAGCAAATGTTGCAAATCTTTTTCTTTAATTTTTATTTAATTCATTATATAATTACTGATCACTTGAAAATTGTGAACTATTTTCAAGCGGTACATAAGAAGAATTTATATTAGAGTGATTTTTATATTTTTAATTTTTAAATTAAAATTAAATTTATAATTCATTTGAATCAAAATAATAATTTTAATTTAAAAATATAAAAATCATACTAATGTAAATGAATTATTCCTAATTCATCTTTTTTTCTTTTAATTTTTTGAAAAGAGGGATTCTAATTTTAAAAAAAAAAAAATACATGCATATATCATTCAATCAAATAATCAAATATATTTCATTAATATCTTAATTGTTAAGATTTGAATTTAAAAATTTTTTTTTATCAAATAACTCCAAATCTATTTAATGTTATTTACTAGGTAACTGAATCAATACTTAGGCAAGTCACATTTTTAGTGTCCCTCATTATAGCAAATGGAAAATTTATACTAAAAACATTGTAATAGACAATAAAGGATGATTCCTCCAACTCGGATAAAGAGACAGGCGGTGGAGAAAAAGCTGAATGAAGTGGCTGGAGAGAATCCTATATTTCTTCACACGTTGCATCCATGCAACCACAAAACGACACCCAAAGCCATTCCAAAACGCATCATAAATGAAATTGAATTAATTAATTAACAAAAATATATAAATTTAAATTTAATAATCTAAAACATGAATATACGAAATATAAAATATGAAAATAATATAATTTAAAATTTTAATAATTATTATATTTAAATTTACTAAAAATAAAATTTTATATTTTATTTTTTTATATTAAAACAAATTATTATACATATAAAATATAATATAAATATATAAATTTTAATATTTTATATGATATAAATATACGAATTACCGAATTTATAATTTTTTTTTTTTTTGCTTTTCTTTGTTTAAGTTTTTAATTGCCAAAAAAAAAAAAAAGTAGAAGCTAGCTTGGAAAGCATGATGGCTGTGAGTTGGCGTTAACTTCAACAATGGGTATTGGGGTATCATACGAATTTTGGTTGCTATAAATAGGATGGTGGCAAAACTAGTTTCCTCATTCAAAAAATTTTTTCTATACCTAATTGCTAGCTTAGCCCTGCAATATTAATGGCAACCGTCATTGCTCCTGACCACTACTCTGCTGTTGAAGATGCCGAAGCCCTTCAAAAGGCTTGTAAAGGTAATTCATCTCTCATAAAGCATTTTAATATATATATATATATATATATTATAGATTTGAGATTGTTAAAATTTAAATTTTAATTATTGAAATTAAAAATTTATTATATCAATAATTTATTATGATCGATAATGTATATATTTAGTTTCAATTGTACTATCATTCCTGTTAAAAATTAAATTTTTTATTCATAACAATAATTTTATTTGTAAAACTTTTGAAACTCTAATTTAATTAGATAATTTCGAGTCTAAATTAAATTAGAGAATCTAAAATATAATATGAATATGATATGAAAATAAGATACGAATATAAAATAATTTAAAATTTTATCAATAATCATATATGAATTTAATAAAACTAAAAAAATATATATTTTATATTTTTATATTAACATAAATTATAACATGTAATTTTCATATAAATATAAATATATTAATTTAAATATTTTGCACTACAAAAATACATGTATTTTCATATTTAATCTAAATCTTGAGATAGAGGCAAGAAATTTACACAATGAAAGAGCTTATTATGATAAATTTGTTCTGATATAATAAACTTTTATAATTATTAAGTAGTTGGTTCAATCGGTTAAGATTCGTTTTTTTTGACGAAAAAGTTTTGGGTTTGAGTTCTGTCAATGATCACTTGTTGGGATCATCATGAATGTACGATTTGCAATCACATATTTTAAGCTGTCAGATATAATATATCTTATTTTAACTTAAAGAACTGACTAATTTATCTATCTCAGATTTTATTTACTAAAAAAAAAAATGGACTTTATGATAAATTAATTTTTTCAATGGATTTTCTTCAATATTATTTAAATCAAATAAAATTTTTTTTACCAATGTTGGCAAAGTCACTACTACCTGATCAATATAAGTTTAGGGCATATAATTCAATATGGATTGCTTAAAAGAATGTCACTTTCTAAAAGTCATGCATGTTTCATAAAATTTATGATAACAGTAATTAGGTCAATTCTAAATTCCAATAAAGAATTGAATGGAAATTTCCTTTTGATGTCTCCAACTACACATTTCTACTTGGTAGGTACACTTTTCTTGTCCATAGACACGCAGCTTCATACGTCAATTTCTCTTTTATTTTAAATCATCTGTCATATTTTTCCTTTGATTTTCTTGTATTCATTTCTTTATTACAAAAATAAAAAAACCCAAGCTATAATATATTTTTATTAGTTTTACGTATATGATCTAATCTCATCTAAATGTATTAAAAAATATATTTCGATTTAATCTCTAAATTTACGTGTATATATGTAAGAAAAAAAATCAAATAATAATTTTGCTTGAAAAGATATAAAAAATTTTGAAAGGCCGTGGCCCTTGCCAGCCCCCTAGCTACGCTCTGGTGTGTGTACTGTAACACATGAACATCCTATCATTCAAAAAGTTTTGCTAAACAAAGAGTAAAGAGATATTCAGAAAGCTAATAATTTTCAGAACAATGGCTGAAAAAAGGGGAATCTGATAAAGAGTTAGGTTCTTTGGTTCACCAAATACTTTCAAATGATCAAAAGATAGCAACATATTAGGCAAACATTTATTAGATTAATTAATTAATTAATTAATAGGGAAAAAGTGTAACAGGGACTGAATTCAACAAAGGAACACTAAAGCTGTGAACATTGGCAACTTTCCAGCAAATTACTGCTAAGTAAGCCTGAGTTGGATTTCTTGACAACTATTGATTTATCATTTACAAACAATTCAGGTTATGGAATCTGCTCTGTGTTAAGAAAAAAGAGTACATAAATTTTTAGCAATATTTCACCGTCTATGAATATTTAAAAAAAAAAAATTCGAACTTAAATATATGTATTTATCACTGAGATGCATGTTCGAAATTCAAACTCAATCTTTAAACATTGATCATATATGAATTATATATATATATATATGTATATCTTATTAAATTAATTAAAGTTAATGGCATATGTCAGTTTTTTTTTTTTTCTGTAATTAGTACAAAAAGGAAAGTACCATGACTTAAATTAACTTACCATTTCTGCTCCATTTCTTGTCCTTACTCTTCGACTTGAGTCAAGCTTAAGTAGCAAAGATGAAAACTTTTCCTAATTACTCTTACAATTATCATTGCAATTGATAATTTATTCTTTGAAATGGGAGTTTTTATTCTTTGAAATGGCAGCATCTGTTACAATAAATTACTCCTTAAAAGATCATGCTTTACCAGGGTATAGAAAATGTTATATTATATCTGCACAGCTAAGCATAAACTGAAAGATCATAAATATTATGCACTAAAATAAGCTAAATTAAATAACATTATCTAGTATAACTATGAGAAAATCACATATAATTTATTTTTAAAATTGACACATTAATTCATAAGTTTGAAATTTAAATTTCAACCCATATAATTCTTTCTTTCATTTTCAATTTGCGGTGTCTTTTATAAAAATTTTAAAAAAAATTATTTTTATTTTATCCAAGTCTAAAAGATTTATTTTTATAGGCGTTAAGTTCAACGATATTAATGGTTTAAATTGAGTGTTGTGAGGATCCTAGTGCTATAAATAAGAGCCTCAGGTAATAAAGTCTCCTTCAAAATTCATTGACAATCTCTTAAGATTAGAGGAAAATAGTTCAATCAAATGGCTACCATTGATGTTCCTAACCAGGTTTCATTTCTTGAAGATGCAGAAGCCCTTCGAAAGGCTTGTCAAGGTTATTACATCGAAATTTTCTAATAATCTCATAGGCCCTTTAGTTTTATGTACTGATCATTTGTTTTTCTTATAATCCATCTTTATACTATATGTAGTTCAGACTGGAAAAAACCTTGTGACTTATACATGTTTTTGTGCTTGTAACTTTTGCTAGGATGGGGGACCGATGAAAAGGCAATAATTTCGGTATTGGGTCATAGAAATGCAGCTCAAAGAAAGCAAATCAGGCTGGCTTATGAAGAACTCTACCAGGAAGATCTTATCAAGCGTCTCGAATCAGAGCTTTCTGGTGATTTTGAGGTTAATGCTATTGCCAGCATCATTTCCATTTCTGTTTCATTCTTAAATATTGGATCATCAGTGTTTTTGACAGTAGTTGAGATTGATTGTTGTGAATATAGAGAGCGGTGTATCGTTGGATATTGGATCCAGCAGATAGAGATGCTGTGTTAGCTAATGTGGCCATAAGGAAAAGCAGCCCTGATCACCATGTGATCATTGAAATATCATGCACTAGATCCCCTGAAGAGCTCTTGGCTGTAAGGAGAGCCTATCAGGCTCGATACAAGCATTCCCTGGAGGAAGATGTTGCTGCTCATACCAAGGGAGACATCCGAACGGTATGTGATCCTGATCAATATTCTTCATTTTATGATTGATGAAACCTTGGGGGAGCAAGTAATTACTGAGTTTTTTATTGCTGTTACAGCTCTTAGTTGTCTTGGTGAGTGCATTCAGATATGATGGAGAGGAGATAAATACCAGAGTAGCAAATTCTGAAGCCAAGACTCTTCACGATGCTATCAAAGACAAGGCCTTCAACCATGAAGAAGTTATCAGGATCATGAGTACAAGAAGCAAGATGCAACTTATGGCAACTTTCAATCGGTACAGAGATGATCAAGGCACTTCCATCACAAAGGTAAATGTTAAATGCTCTTTTTATGAAACCCAGACCTTAGCTTAGTTGGTTCATATCGCCAACCTTAAGTGATAGCATCTAGCTGACATCCGAATTCTAACACCTGTAATCTCTTCCCTTATCTTGGGTTGTGGCAAGCTATTTTCATGTCAAATCTATTCTCAATTAACCTTTTCTTTTCTGTTTCTCCAGAATTTGCCGGGTGCTTCAGGTGATGAATTCCTGTTGGCACTGCGTACAGCAGTTCGTTGCCTCAATGACCCGAAAAAGTACTTTGAAAAGGTTTGAGTCTTATGATCCTGATAACAATTTGCTAAGCTTTTTAATCAATAAAATTGCTGGAATATATGGACTCAAATCTGGTATTGTGTACGATAGGTTTTGCGCAGTTCGATCAAAAGGACCGGAACTGATGAGGATGGTCTTACCAGAGTGATCGTTACAAGGGCAGAAAAGGACTTGAAAGAGATCAAAGACCTTTATTACAAAAGAAACAGTGTGCCTCTTGATCAAGCTGTTGCCAAGGACACCTCAGGGGATTACAAGGCTTTCCTTCTTACTCTGTTGGGGAAGGAAGATTGAAATCGTTACAGGCCATTTGCAGGTTTCAATAAGTATCTGGTTGATTTGAGTCAGTATCATCTTGATCCCGGCTTATGTTTCTATGTGGCGTGATCCTATTTGCTTTTCATTTAGTCTGGCTGTAATGGAGTGGTTATTTTCCTAAGCAGTTGTCTGAAATGTATTTTTCTTTAATCTGGTTTTAATGGAGTGGTTATTTTCCTAAGCAGTTTCTAATGACATTCCTTCAATCTCTAGATGATTGCCACATATTCATATGAGAACAAGAATCTTAGTTCAGATGGTTCACCCATATTATATTAAACTATATTCTTAGAAGAATGTAAGCTTATTCTAGATGGTTCACCCACTTCCTCCAATGAATTCTCATGAAGCATCCTCCTATGGAAGCTGAATTCCTTCAATGAATTCTCACAATGAGTTTTATCAGGGCATTTGCATTCCCCTTTACCCATGGCCTTGGCTCCTGGCAACATATATATCTTAAAAGAAATAAAAAATAGCGAGCCTAATTAATGCTGATGGGCTCTCTAAGACAATCTTGGTCATGAGAAGGTGAGAACTCTCGTTAATCCATACCAAACCCTAAACCCAACAACTAGCAAACTACTTCATGTAGATGTTAGACCATATCCTGTGAGCCAAGTCAGCTGAAACCAAGCATTAGCTCTAGCAACCTCAGCTCAAGCTAAAACTAACTTTTTATTCAGTCAGGCATTATTTTGTGTAAAATCAAATTTGAAGTCATCACATATCAACGCACACAACATTCAACGGAGCAGGTAAAAATGAATGATCTCATTCATGGTAAGATGCATTCCACCAGGAGTTCATTCAATTGGTCAAGACATCATTTCCGGGGATGGGTTTTACTTAGAAACTATATACTGCATTATTATAAACAACTATGTAACTGTATTTTATTGATAGAGTATCATGGATTATTCCTAGTAGAAACGGCAAAAAACCAAAAACTTTCACCTAATGCTAATCAAGGTCTCCTATAGTGCAGATTGGAAAATCATCTCTGCAAGTTCCTGCAACAACACAAATCAATTGTACTTTTAGATTTGATTCATACTGCATTAAATGCTACTTTATGTCAACAGCTAGTGTATGAGACAGAGGAAGAAGAACGATCTGAGAGAAAACATCTAACTAAAATATTTTCTAGATTAAAGTATTGCATAACAAGTGTGTATATAAAAAGATAGTAAAAAGGTCAACGATGTTCTATGAAAAGTACAGCCTTCTGTCATACTTATAAAACCCAACCCCAAATCCCATCCTTAATATTTGACAATATGGTCATCACAGTCTATCTTGAAGTTAAATAAGCATATAAACATTATAAAAAGTAGCATATCTAACTACCTGCTTGGCTGAAGCAACCTTGGGCTCGCCCCATTCCATGGCTTTCTTCTCTAGCATTTCAAAATCAGCTTTACCAGCCTGTTGGATGAAGTATTACTTAGATTAGCCATAGGAAATGCGTTTTTTAGGCCAAAAAGGAAGTTATTACAAAAACACATCACCTCAATTTGGGCACCAATTTCTGAGTCAAAGCTGGAATATCGTTTACGAACCAGCTCAGCCAAAGACCCATCCTATAATCAACAAATTCATTAATATAGTGAAAGGTGAGACAGGCATTTGGTGAAAAAGTGGAAGAAACTTGATATTGTAGTACCTCAATCAGCTTGGCAGCATTTCTAAGTCCACGGGCCAAGGTGTCCATTCCACTAATATGAGCAATGAACAAGTCCTCAACATCCGTGCTCTCTCTCCGTCTACAAAACCATTAAAAGTCAACAGTTCATCTCAATCGGATAAAAATAATGACTATAGGTAGTCACAACACAACTGAAAGAAAACAAGGAAAAGTTTAGACTCACAATTTCGCATCAAAGTTGAAGCCTCCTGGTGCTAATCCTCCCTGTCATAAACAAAAGAGAAACCCAACGTAAACCCCACTGAAAGTTGAACTCTCTTTGAAATATCAAAAGTAATTAAAAAGAATCCTTCGCATACATTTCTTATCACACTTAGCATAACCATAGTTGCCTCTCCAATATCTGTCAAGAACTGATCTGTATCCCAGCCTGTGTTGCAAACAAATCAATATCTTCAACTCTAAGAGGATTGTAATTCTAAATTTGTAAACTGAAAGTAGGAAACTTTGAAAGAATAGAAAGCTTTTATTTATTGAATGGTACCAATCTGAGGATCGCCAGTGTTTGCATCAATATTTCCTAGCAATCCATTGATTCTTGCAGTCTCAAGATCATGATGACAGCTGCCAATTACAACAGCTACACAGGTTGGCAAAGCAATTTACATGCATGCAGTTGTTGGGGGCCAGTTTTAGATGGAAATAATAAAGCAGTATAAAAAATTTGAAGGAAATGGAACATCACAAACCTGTGACCAGAGAGTGTGGCGTGGTTGCATTCAATGTTAAGTTGAATTCCCCCTGCTAAAAAGAAATAGTGAACAGCAAGTAAAAATGTAACTGCCTACCACATAGACAATAGCCGGAAAGATCTTTCCTTTTTTCTTCTATAATATATAATGGAGGTGATCACTAGAAATTCCAACACTCTGGAGAAAGCATGGTTTTGGAACATTAATTTAAAAACAGGCGACTGAATAAAGGGACACGTTTTACTTCATTAAAGTTTCTGTTGGAACCAAATACTCAACAAAATGGTTTCAACATCGCAAAATATCAAAAGCCCAATAAATTTCTAAATTATGTGGAATTATTCTCTGGGATGAGTGTTATGCTTTCTCATCATACAATTCTTTTCTCAGGCAGCTAATCTTACCATGTAATCATCAGTTTCTTTTTATTTTCCTGGTCCTAGTAAAAGCATGACTTAAATACTTGCTTTTACCTAAAAGGTATAGGTTTTCACTTTTCAAACAGCATATATAGACACATTCATGAAGTCAACTCTTGCATCATAAGGTTAGAGTTATCTATGAGGCAAGCCCAATCAAATGCATAAGTTTAGTTTATATTTTATTTAGCTAATGCATGCTGAAAATTAGAATCATGATACATGCAAATAACAGAGTTATCAAAGATCATGCAAAGCAAAATTAGTAATCAGATGAGAATTCATTAGAGCTCACCAAGCAGCCCATATTTTCGCAAGAAGTTAGCTGTTGTTGCAGCATCCCAGTCATACCTGGAAAAGATCAAGCATAATTCCTATAAAGAACAGAAGGGATTTGATTGATATTACTAACTAAGCTCGAAGGGTTGTTGAAACATACTGATGTTTGGTAGGTTCTTGAGGCTTAGGTTCAATCAGTAGAGTTCCTGAATCAAAGTATGTTCCATCAGAATTTCAGCAAAATAGGAAAAAGATGAAAAAGAACTAAAGAAGAAATGCAGACGACTCCTTTGGTCTAGAATGGCATCTTTTTCTTTGTTCCCCTCTTCCTAGCCACCTATATTAGCAAGAAGGGGAGTTATCATGAAGTCTTAAGATTATTACAATGGAAAATTACCATTGAATCCAATCTTCTTCTTGTAGGCAACAGCAGCTTCAAGAAATCTTGCCTACAAAATAAATAACAATAGTTTAAGTTAATGAGAACTAGGTCCCTGAATTGAAAAGTTTGAAAAACATTCAATCGGGAAAATGCATAAATAAAATACGCCTTTTTAAGTAACATAAAACTAACAACAGCCGACATTGAAAAGCACAATTTATATACCATAGTAAGAAATGTGGAACAAACATACCAGATGATCAAGCTCTCTTTCCATGTCTGTGTTCAAGAGTGATTGATAACCCTCACGACCACCCCAAAAGACATAATTTTCTCCCCCTAGATAATGTGTCACCTATAGGATGAGCAAAGCAGTATATAAAGCAATTATCAGAAATAAGACAAATGTTACTGTAAATTAAATGCACAAAGCTACACAAAGTTCTCTTGATGTTATATATGAGTAAACACCCACCTCCATGGCTTTCTTGACTTGAGCAGCAGCATATGCATATACTGCCATTTCAGAGCTGCAAAGCAAACACAGAAGGAAGTATCGAGTTCATCAAGGGACAAACAGATCACATTCTCTACTGGATATATACCAAGGAAATATACAGAACACTCAATAAAGATACCTTGTAGCACCACCATGCATGTAACGAGGATGCATAAATAGTTGAGCCGTACCCCACAGCAGACGGATCTTGTCCCCCTGCATATTCAAGTAACAGAGATGTTTGGGAAATAGATAACTTAGTCATGTTTCAAACAATAAAAACTTATCAAACAGATAATACTGAAGCCCAACATGCAAGGATAATTGTTCACACTAGAAAAAATGACAAAACAAGGTGCCAAATTATTTTGAGCAAAGTAAAATTTGTGGCAAAAGATTTTTCATGCCATAATTAGATCTTATTTTCAATTAGAAGAGCATGAATATGTAATAACCGAAAGCCCCAGACCCCAATAAAAACCCTTCTCCAATATCAAATTAGAGAAATATAATTGTAAGTTTTTCTATTCTCCCATCCTCTGGCATGCAAATCAAGCACTCAAATGGAAACAAATATTACGTCAATTGCCAAGTCTATTCAATGGTCTCTTTTCCTCATATTATAGAAATAGAAAATTACAGAGCAAGTGAATTCACTGTTGATGTTCTATAACTAGTTATCATTCACGTTGCTCATTGCTGAGAATCCATCAAAAGTGAATTATTATACTTCTTCCACAAACAATAAACTGGTGTAACCTGTTTAGGTAACATGCATATGTCCAAAAGTGACATGGGCAGCTTGGATAAAAACAGGCACAGTGCCTGTTATCGATGTGATTGATTAAAAGCTAGACTGTTAAAATAAACAAACTAAAAGCAAATAAGTAAATAAGAGATCCAATATGAGATGTTCAAGAACATGTAAAATTATAGAAAGGAAAAAAGGGAAGTTCGGTACTTAAGTCTCTTTAAGCAAGACAGCAGCCAATTAACACTTTATGCACATTCGGTCAGTTACCTGAAGTTCTTTAGCAAGGGCCACCACTTCATCCAAGTTTGCATTAGTTTCCTACAACAACCACAATAAGAAAATGATTGATAGACAAATGTCAAAAGTAATAAGAGGGTTGCTAAGACAGTTTAGAAAAAACCAGTTCATTTCAAAGCATTCAAATATAAAAGCAACTATAACAATCAATAAGAAAACTATCAGACCTCTAGTGTTTTGCCATCAGGAGCGATGTCCCTGTCATGGAAACACCACCTATCAACTCCAAGCTTGTTTATGAATTCAAAATTGGCTCTCACTGAAATTTGATTCAAAAAGAAGCAAAGAAAATTACTAAATGCTGCAAATTAGTATGAATCAATAATCAGAGAAAGTGGGCAATAACTATGAATCTTACTTCTTCTTTTGGCCATAGCAATGGAATTGGTACCATCTTCCCAAGGCCAAAACTTTGTGGGTGCACCAAAAGGATCGGCACCTGTCCCACGGAAAGTATGCCAAAATGCAACGCTGAATCTCAACCAGTCCTACACCATTTTTATCCAGTCAGCAACCATCAACATCTTGATAAATCTCATAGAAGTTACAAATGGAAACCAACCTTCATTTTCTTCCCAAGGATCTCCTCCTCGGCATTGTACCATTTGTATACAAGTGGATTCTTGCTAGAAGGGCCCTGCACTCAAAATTACAGTCACATTTCATAATGTTTGAATAATTAAGCTATGGCAATCACAACTATGTTTTCTTTGAGAACCATATGTCTGATTTCTAATAAAATCTCCAAAAAGGGAATACAATCCTTTTTAAATTTTTTATTAACAAACACAATCAATTTATTTTGCATAACTATAGGGACCTAACAGTCTTTACCTCATACTTAATTTTGGGAATTCCAGGGAAAAATTCCCCTTCCCATTCACTATCCTCAGAACATTTTCCACCAAGATCAGCAGGGCATGTTTGTGGTGCAGCATTCTACATGAAAAAAAATTCCGATTCACAAAAAAAAAAAGAAAAGAAAAGAAAAGAAGAAGCAACATAATATCTACATAAAGAATACATAAAAACATTACAAAGGAGGGCTTTTTTACCACTATAAAAGAGACCACATTCATACAAAGAAGTAGTAATAAAATCCTCCCAGCCATATTTTTCTTTTCTAATATCATGCAAAGTAAACCTGCAAGACAATAACCAATCAAACAAATAAATACTAGTAAAATTATTAAAACCAACCGATAATTATAAAAAAATTAACAATCATCAATCATCATATATCACATAAGAAATTAGGTTACTATAAAAAAAATTAAATATCAAACTTTAGCCAAAAAAAAGTTAAGTTTTAACATTCAGAACTAATAGTTGGAACAGCAAATGGCACTAACGAGAAAATTAAAAAAAAAAAAAAAATCCTTTTTTCCTTTTTCTGATGAACACCCATCATCATTTATCACATGAAACCAACAAAAACTTTTAAAATTTTGAGTTTTGACAAATACCCATAATCAGATATGAAGAAAAAAATCATGGGTTAATCTCAAAATTCTAGCTTTTTTTCTTTTTAAGACAGCCCAAAAAAAGAAAAAAAAAAAAAAAAACAAAAGTGACCTTTGAAAATCGAAAAAAAATACATATAATAATTTTAAAAAATGATGACAGCTGATAAAAAGTTAAAACTATAACAAAAAAGAAATAGAAAACTTACAGATTTTGAAAAAGATAATTAGTTTGAGAGAAAGAGATGAATCAAGAACTGAGGAAGAGTCAGTCAGTATTTATAGGTGAATTTGAACTCAAAATCATATCTTTTATTTTTAAATGATTGCGTCATTCTTCAGGGTTTTATTGGATAAGTCTTAGCTAATTTTTAGGGATATTAAATTACATATTAATAATTTATTTATTTATAAGTAATTAATAGTAATTTTTAAATTAATTTTTAGACTTGGGTATGGATTTCAATAATTGTTCGTTTGATTTAAAAATTTTTTTTTACTAAATATACAATAATTATGAGACTAAACATATTTATTTTCTCGTCTTGTAAAATTTATTTAAATAAATTTTTTTTTTTGTTTCTTTTACACATCTAGTAATTGTTAACACAAACACTACATACTATTTTATTGTAATTTTATTTAACACAAACACTTTTTACTGATTTTTTTTTTTATTTTGGGCATCTAAATTTAAGATATGTTTATATTCCATGGAATCAAATGTTTAATTAAGAGTAAAACAATCAATTGAGTGTTAATTCAAGTATAAATTAATCTCCTTAAAAGAAAAAACTATATATATATATATTAATGAGATTTTTAAAATTACGAATTTGAGAAAATTTTAAATAAATAATGTGATTTTCAAGTGAATTAAATAGGTAAATATTTAAACAAAGTAAAAGTAAAACACTTCTTACTATTTTGTTTTTTTTCTATTCAATTTTAATATGCTAAATATAATATATATTTTTAAATAAGAAAATAATTTTAGTATTTCCACCAACGTACGTACCATCGCTTTCAACCCTTTGTATCAGATAATAATGTACACGTATGTTTCTCGTGGCAGTTTCCTTGGAACAGTGAAGTTGCTCTGTTATCCTTTGAAGTTTGTTTTGATAGAATCAAATAATAATTTTGACTAAATGAATCTTTTCTATGTAAAAGATAAATACTAACTAGAAAATATGACAAAGCAAATTTAATTAATTTTTTAAAATTAAAATTATAATTAAATATCACATTCATATTTTTAAAAAATCATCAAATAATTAAATAATCATCCGAAAAAATTTTAAGAGTAAAAAAAATTATTTTATTTTCAAAATTAAAATAAATAGTCGATTCAATTAAAATTTACGAATTTATTAAACTCAAGGCAATGAAGCGCAAGGCAAATTCTAGTTACAAATGAATCAGCTAATAAAATAGCAATTCTTTCATTTATTGAAAAATAAATAAATATTCCTTATTAATTTGCAATAGGCTTGAGGAGGACGAAGATTGCCATTGTTTTCTGGAAATCTGGGTTCAAGAAAATGGGTGACTCTGAAAGTTTCCTCCAGTATATCTCGAAGAGTTGATCAATGATTTCAATTCCGAAGTGTTTCGCAATGAGTTCTTCCAGGACAGCTCTCATGTACAGGGCTCGATGTTGGAGGTCAGGCATGGCTATGTGCTGCTTTGGGTTGTTCAAGATGTCCATTCTCTCGATGCTGAAACTTCCATTTCTCTCTATAATTTGCCGTAATTCCTTCGGGGATGTGTAGTAAATAGGCAAGTTGAAACTGTCCACCTTTGCCGCACTTACCATTCCCTGCGTCACAAGCCCATTGATAAGTTCATTTCACACCGATAATAATTAAATCTGTTTAAACTACTTGTTTGAACTGGAAAATTCATTTGAAATTGAAAATATTTTACACATAAATTCTAAAATTTTTGAATGTGTCTGAATTTAAATTTTAAATTTGTTTAAAAACGAATTAAATAATGTCAAATTTAAGAATTTTTTCAAAAGTGACAACTTGTAATATATATATATATATATATATATATATATATATATATATATATAACATCATTGATAAATTTATCAATTAAAAAAATGCCGAAAAGAAAATTTTAAAAGTACTAAAGAAAATTTTTCCCTTAAAATTTTTGTTTTCCAATTTTTTTTGAGTGCTCATAAGAAAATTTTGAAGTGTCCAAAGAATTTTTTTTTTAATTTTCTTGTTTTCTAATTTTTTACTGCAATCATAGACATTTGATTATATCAATTGGATCTAAGGATGTTAATGAGTAAAGTACGAGAAAGATAGAACATTTTTAATCGTTATCCTCATACTTATATTCAATGGGTATTTTAAATATATTCATATCTTTATCTTTATGAGTATTCAATCGATATGAGTAATTTTTATATCTATATAATTTTTTTTAAAAAAATAAAATAAAAAAATTTTTTTTAGCTTTTTTATTTTTATTTGGTATATTTAAATAATTTTTTATAAATATATATTATTATATATTTTTTAATAAAAATATATTAATTTTAATTAATTTAAAATAATAATTTATATTATTTAATAAAAAAATTTATCTACTAAATATATATAAATATTTATGTAAGATATGAGTATGGGGCAGGTGTTCTATTACTCATCTCATCTCCGTAAATAATAAAAATTTAAAATCATACTCATCTCTATAATATAATACTTATCACTATCTTTATTTAAATAAAAAATCGAATTTTTCATTGAATATAGATAAAATTAACATTCCTAATTGGATCTACTCCTAGAGTCAGACCTTAAGCATAACACTTACGACTTAGATCTAGCCTGATTGATTGATTTTTATATGTTTTTTATATTATATAAAAATTAATAGTTAACTAAGTAAATATGTGTGTATGTTAATATTTTATGTCTATATTTACCAATCTCATCCAAATATCAATTGAATTAATAAAGTTTTTTTTTAGGCTTTATTTTGTTTATTATTTATTTTAGTATAGTTAATATTTATTATAATTTTTTTACTTTTTTATTTAAATAATTGAAATGTGGATAGACTTGATCATTTAATCAATTTTTTTTTTAAAATGGATTGAGCCTAGACATCAAAATAAGATTCATATACTTTCAAGCCGAATCTAAACATCAAAATGAAATTCATACAAATCTGGACAAATCTTAAGCTTATTAATATTTTACTAAACATGATCCAAAGTCGGTCCGACTTGATCTATGCATGGGTCTAATAAGAACTCGATTTGGAATTATTATTGAATGAACAAATGCTTTGAAAGTTACCATTTTTGCCATCTCCATGAGACAAGAACCGACAAGTTCCAATTCTGATCCTGTTGTAATTTGAGGGTGGGTGATCACATCTGGAACAGCGGGTATAACAAGTGCCATCAACCCACCAGCCACAATCTCTTTCACTCTTGCCTGTAAAAACGAGTCTATGTCCTTGGCAAATTGATCTGAATAAGCTTCAAAACCTCCTGCGGTGCACCAGTATAATGAATCCTACCTTGATTCCAGGCAGGGCCAGTTTTGTCTACGACTGCTTTGGGCACCTCGGAGAGCCAACAAAGTGCACATGATGAGTAAACAAAATGCAGGGAGGCCGTAGGAAACTGGCGGTCATAGAAAGAACCAGGAAGAGCAGCTGCATAGTATTTTCTCCCAAGTGGAAGTGATGCAAACAGAGAATTGAAGTCATTGCCAACTTGGTCATTAAAGAAGACCTGAAATTCAGGATCAGTTCGAGGGCTTGGTCCATGAGCTTGGAACTTGTGCTCTAAAGCCTCTAGTATGTTTTGGATTGCTAGAATTGTATTGGGTCCAGAAGAGCAACCCAAGTCTGCAATCCTAAATGGCTCTGAAGCTGCTAAACAAAGTTGTTGAATGTCGAGTTTCATGGCGATTTCCTCTTTGATCATCCCTTTGGCAGCCTCCATTATTCCTCTCTACAAAATAGTAGGGCATGCTTCAATTTAACCATAATCGTCAGAATTAATAAAGTTAAAGATTTATACCTGGTACGAGGAGTTTTGGGCGTAGCTGTAAGGTCCAACTCCTCCGTTCATAGCATATGACTCCATACTTGGGCTTTTATCTTCCATCAAAATGCTTGAAAAATACAGTCAGTAGATTTTATCATGGAGTTTAATTATATGTATATATGATTCTAAAATGTTTGAGGTTTTGTTATTGAAACAATAGGTTTGTATTCTTGAAAGGCAGAAAGGTCCAACGATATAGTTCAACCAACAACTTGTGCGTAGTATAAAACAAGTATGCAGGAATTGATAGAGGGAGATGCGTCGCCTTCATCATTTTGCAAGTTGAAATCTTATCTTTAACTAAAGTTCTCACAATAAAACACTTGATGGAGGATCCAGGCAGGCCCATTACCCTTATCAAGTATTCAAGTATACTATTTTAGTTTTTTTTTTTTTTTTGCAAAATACAAATTACATACATTCATACGTATAGACCTACGAATTAATTGGGACGAATCATAGGTCTATACGTATGAGACCTACGAATTGCATATACATACTTGGAACAAAGTGTTGGATACGGTTATTTCAGAAAAATGAAGAGTCGTAACAACATAATTGATCGTATTATGTATGGCTATATAAACATGTGCAATGCCCTCGGGACGCTCCTGCCACAGATTTTGTTGCAGTGTTCATATACTGCCTGAGGATGTGGTTTGCTCCCTGTAGCAAGGATCATGATTGAGTCTTGTCCGCAATAGGTTTGCTTTTATCAGTATTCATGATTGCATTGGAAAGGATGTCAGCTTTCAGATTTTGCAACATCTTCATTTACCTTTGGCCCTAAGTGTCACGGATCCACATTTCCAACACAAAAGACATATTTATTAAATAAAGAAAGATTCATGATTTATAAGTTCAGAAACATCTCTTTCTTCTATTGATGTAGGATTCGTAACATTCTCTTCTATCCAATTATGCAACGTACTTATTGTATTGATTCTTTCACTTACAGATGAGAGAGATTTATTTTTTATTCGAGTTTACTTTGACTCTGATATCTCTTCATGGGGATTTATATCAGTAAAGGATTGAATCTGCATTGAAACTACTTGTCCACCAGCAGCCGTTCAAGAGACGAAGGAAGTGATGAGATTTTGATTATTGAAGGTCCAAAGAGAACTTCATTATCGGATTGGATGACCCATAAAATTTATGGGGCATCAGCAATGTCTTGATCATTAGTTCTGTTTTGTTTTATGCTAGTCTTAGGAAAGAATACATCAACGGTACCCTTTCCTTCCTTGCCAAGAGACCAAAAGGGCAAGATCTTTATCTGAAGCACTCGTAGTTTTAGCCTATGATCAAATTTAACTATTTTTTCAACCAAAATAGGGCAATATTGTGAGCCCAAAAATGACAAATCTTCCATCCAATAATTCATTTGATGATTTTGTACATGCTATCTTTGGACGTCAGATTATACTGTTTTGGGCCCTTTTCATCGCCTTTTCAATCAAATTTCCCAAGGTGCTACAGTAAAAGCAGCACGGCATCCTAGCAACCACCAAAAAAAAAATCTAAAAATCTTATCCAAATAAATCTTCATATATTATAATTAGGGTTAGCATAGAATCGGGTCGATGCGAAATTTTATTCATCTCGAATTTGATCTGATTTTATAATTACAAAATTTGTATCTATATTTGACCCAAATTTTTTTTTATTTTTTAATATTCGAATTCGATCCGAATCTAATATTATATAAATCGTATCTGATTCAATCCAAAATTAATAAAATATTATTTTTTAAAATATAAAATATTATTTTTTAAATATATAAATAATTAAAAAATAATTTTTTTATATAATATCGAGTCGGGTCAGGTTTACCTAATACCTAAACCCAACTTGACCCCGATCTTCCTTTCATAATACTCGATCCGACCTAATCCAAAACTCGATTTTCAAAAAAAAAAAAATTTACCTCATTGAGGTCGGGTCAGATTGAAACTCGTCGATTTCGGGTTGGACTGCCAATCCTAATTATAATTCTAGTTTTTCAATATAAAAAAAAAAAAAAAAAAAAGGGATGCAAAGAATCCCATTATTATTAAACCTACTTTAATCTTTTTTTGGTGTGAGAATGCATTATCTATGATTACATAGGTATATTTTTTCACCTTTTTTATCAACAAAATATTTAATTTTATACTTCAATCCTTAAACAAAACGCCATTAAAATCAATTTCCTTTAACAAAAAATCTATCATACCCTCTTACTAGGTCATTCATGTATATTTTACTACCTAAAAAGCTATATATTTGAGCTTTTTGTATTCTTCATATATATAGATATTGAGTTCATGGTGCTTCTTTTCTCATTTTTTTTTAATTTTCATTTTATTTGAAGAAGGAATAGAAAATAAGGGAATATACTAATTATGAACAAATTTGACTCTCTTTTTTAAGTTAAATGTAATATTAAAAATTTTGATGAATATATGCAAATATAATTAAGGTATGCAACACACATCCAAAATGATTTAAATTCGAATTCGAAAATTTTTATGATAGATTGATCCAATCGCTCATGTCCATTTTCATCTTCAACGAACAACTTGAAACATCCCTCTCTCGTAGATTTCTTGTGTTCATGGTTTGAATTTGCCTCTATAGAGATTAATTGAAGTCTTGAAAAGAAGATGAACTAATATTGATCATTTATAAATTTCTAATCAAAGAACAAACTTGCTAGTTTCAATGATCAAATTAGCTATGCCTACAACAATGTAGAAATCTGTTGTTCTTGCTTTCATACGTATGTCAATAACTTTTTTAAACTTATAAGATAAATTAAAGTAATTTAAAATGCCAGAATTAAAAAGATTTAAGTTACGGCCTTTTATATATATATAAAAAATAAATATATTTACATCAACCTAGAAGGCTATTTTTGTCATTTTAATACATATTAAGGTTAATTATATTGAAAAAAAGAAAAATAATTATAATAACAATGATCATAATTAAAAAATTAATTAATAATTCATGTAAGATATTGATACTATATCTAAATTCGGTCCAAATTTAAATCCGATCGATTCATAAAAACCTCTATTATCAACTAAAGGTCACATGCAAAATATAAGTCAGAAAAGGATTTATATATGTCAACCTTCCTTTCCATGGAAAATGATTTCTAGCACAAATAAGGCAAAGGGTATTGTTGAAAAAATTTAAACTAAAAATTTAACATTCAATTCAAAGATAAGATTTTTAATAGATGATGATAGATTTTTATAAATAGATTGATTTGAATGAATGTCACATGTTCATGACATGAAACAAGATATTTTCGATGTATCTAAAATTATTAGCTAAGATTTCATTGCTACTAACACTTGGAATCGAAGAAACCATACGTTTTAGTCACGTGAAACATTGCAACTATATTTATCGAATTAATAATTAATACTTTAATCAAAACTTAGGTGGTGTGGACCGTCACATTATGATAGCAAGTTCTTCATTCATTCTTTTTTTTTTTTAATTTCTTTTCTTTTAATTTTTATCAATTTCTTATGCAATCCTCTACTTTTCGTAATGCATCACTCTTTATTTTTTCTTTGTTTAGCCTATACTTTGCCTAAAAACATTATAATTTGCAATTATTCTTTTGAATTTTTAATTTTGTCACTTTGAAAACACAATTGGGAATAAAGGGTCTATTCTTACTTCCCTTTGTTGTCCCAGATGGAGCCATGTATTATTAATCATTGACTAGCTGTCCTGCTGAGAAAAGTATCATAGACAGCTAAGATTTTCATTTTTTTTTTAAAATTAAGCAAGTTATTATTATTATTATTTTCAACTCACTTAATTTCTAATATCAAATTAATTTATTTTGTGATCGTGGAAAGTGTAGGGATGTAAAAGATATATGATTACTTACAAGTTATTTGGGTTCGATTCGAAAAAAATTTGAATTCGATTCGATAATAATTGAATCGAGCTCGAACTCGAGTAATTTGATTTATCGATCAAGTCGAATTCGAGTATTCTTATATCTAGCTCGAGTAGTTCACGAGTCTAATCGAGCTTTTATATTTAAATATATTTTTATTATTTTAATTAATAAAATATTTCAAATTCGAGTTCGAGTTTGAGTTCGAGCATAAATAATCGAATTCTTATCGAGTATACGAATCGAGCTTATTTTTATATATTAATCGAGTTTAATCGAGTGAATTCGAGTCGTTCAAATTAAATCACGAATCGAGTTCAAACTTGAAAAATAAAATTACATCGAGTTTGAGTCGAATATCGAATCGCAAATTGTGAGTCGAACTTTTCATTATATCGATTCGATTCGATTACACTCGTAAGAAGGTTGGAAGGAATGTGGATTATTTTAATTTCACTCACTTAGATTGTAAGTGTGTTTATGGGACACATGTGATTTTTTTAGGGGACACACATTTTTCACTTTTTTTTTTATATATATCACAATGAAATAAAATATAGCATGTGAGATTTGAAGATGGCGAGATTTGCATCATCAACAATAATTAAATCAAATGGTCGGACGTGGTTTAAAACATGATTTTTTAACTTATTGAAAAATATTCTTAGTTCAATTTAAAACTGTAAGTTTCTAGGATTCAATGATACGTTACTGAAGATTTTACCTTTTAGTAAAAGCTTCTTTAAAAGTTGAAAATTAACTCATGGAAACTGATATGTTACTGAATTCTTAAATGTTGCATTCAATGGTGAATGATAACTAGCAAAAGTTGTTACGAATTTAAGGAAATATCAATATTCTAAGGTACCAAACATAAATTTCAAAAGCTTCATGAAAGTTTAGAAAAATATGCCAAAACCAAAGGGTATCATAGCTTTTTAATTTGTTTTCATTTTCCATACTTTCTTTTATTAATAAAATGGCTTTAATCTCCTTTCATTTTCTTTTCTTTTTTAATTATGAAAAATGGTATCAAAATCCAACAAAAATAAAGATTACAAGTACTGATATTTAGCATAGAAAACAACAGAAACTGAAGGAAGAAAGAAACTGAAAAAAATCAGTGAACAAAATGAAGAGTTTTAAGAAACTTTTCACAAGTAAATCAAAAACCCATATCCGTGAATCTAGTTTTAAGATTGAAGGAATGGGTTCACTTAAAGTACTAGATGTCATTCCTCCTCCGGAAGAAGACTCTGAGAAACTCAAGAAAGCTTTTCAAGGTCTCCTCTCTATCTCCGTTCTTTTCATTTTGTTTCCTTTTGTTTATTGAGAATCTAAGATAATTTTTATGATATTGTTGTTGATGTTATTGGGAAATTTGTTTACAGGATTGGGGACAGATGAGGAAGGGATAATTGAGATATTAGGACACAGAAATGCAAGTCAAAGGAAGAAAATTAGAGAAACTTATCAGCAGCTCTACAATGAAAGTCTTATTGATGCTCTCAATTCTGAACTTTCTGGTGATTTCAGAGTATGTTATACTGTGCATTCCAACATAGCTGTTTAGTTGATTCAATTAAGATCAATGATTTTCTATTGAAAATTTGAAATTTCTGCAGCAAACCCTTGAAGATCAGAACCTTGAAATCTCATTGTTGTGAAGTTAGAATAGCACAAATCAAAAACATTTTAGGCCAGTTTATAACACTGATCTAGGCTGCTACCAGAAAGAGGAATCAAATCATATGATTTCACATCAATAGAAGAATAATTAAGGCTTCTGTTTTTCTTGCAGCTTCTATTTCCTTAAAGCAAATGTATACATATATATCAAACATGTATATAGGAAAAGACCTGCCTTTAGAGTACGTTTTCCAATTCACTGAGGTTTTGAATTTTTTTAAGGAGTCTTGGTTTTAGTCCTGGAATGATTCTTCAACTTGTTGAACTGTTCTGATTTCGAAGAAGCATTTCATTTCCAAAAACTAATGGTAACATCCTATGGTCATATTTTAACAATAAAAATTTTTCATGTTTAACAGAAAGCTGTCATTCTTTGGACATATGATCCTCCTGAGAGGGATGCCAAACTGGCAAATGAAGCATTGAAGTCAAAGAAGAAGGGTGTTAAGCAGCTAGAAATCATAGTTGAGATGTCATGTGCATTGTCTCCTCAGCATCTTGTGGCAGTGAGGCAGGCCTATTGCTCTCTCTTTGATTGTTCACTTGAAGAAGATATCATAGCTTCAGTATCTGCACCCCTCAAAAAGGTAACTATACTCAGAATTGATACACACTAGATAAAGAAGGAACACTAACCTGTAATTGACTGCAACTTCATTTATATTGGTGTTTTGAGAGATTGAAAAACAGCCATTTGACTTGTTAATTTTGGTGATGCGCAGATTTTGTTGGGCTTAGTAACTTCCTACAGGTATGACAAGGAAGTGATGGACATGGATGTAGCCAACTTAGAGGCAGATAGACTACATGAGGCTATCAAAACAAAGGAGTTAGTTCATGATGATGTAGTTTATATACTCTCGACAAGAAATTTCAATCAACTCAGGACAACATTTGAATGCTACAAGAAAAAATATGGAAATCCTATTGACAAGGTTCTGCTTCCAAGCATTTATGTAGTCTATATATATAACATTTTCTTTCTATTTTTCATCTTTTATCATTTCCTCTTGACTGAGGATTTCTTGTGACAGGACATCATGAAATCTGGGAAGGTTGATTTGGAAGCACTACTGAAAATGGTTATTTTGTGCATAGATTCTCCAGAAAAGCACTTTGCAGAGGTGATTCTATCCTTTTTTCTATCTAAGTAGTTAATAAACCAGAAGAGCCATGTTTCTGAACCATAGTTATTGTAAAAAAAAAAGGTATATAAGAGGAAATTCTTGCCAGTTCTGGATATAGTTTTCAGATAGTACTATCTTAGATGATTGAATCCTTTCAAAGCAAGAAAGGTTTAACAGATGAAATTGAACTTTTCTATCTTTTTTTTTCTCTGTTAAATTTCAATCTCTTGGAAAATAGAATATTTTTACCTATTAGCATGACCAAAGAAACACATTAGTGCCATCAATTATATTGTCTGTTGGTAGAGTATTGAACTCTTAATTCCGTGATCAGATTTGATTCTTAACAATCTCAAGTGTGTGTGTGTGTGTGTGTGTGTTTATAAAGATAAAGAAACACTTCAGTGATGTTCCAGTATTTCTCATATTGAAGAGATGAGAATATGTATCAGGCCACTCTGTTGCTAAAACTTGAGTGTTCAAAAATGTGGATTTGTGTTTAGTACTGCTTTCAACCTAAATTTTGGGTGTACTTTTAGCAGACTTGTTTTGTTTTTTTCTCTGTTTGGAGTGGCTTCTTATCTGTTCAAACCATGAACAGGTTGTTGGAACTTCCATCATTGGGCTGGGAACCGATGAAGATTCACTAACAAGAGCCATTGTCACTAGAGCAGAAATTGACATGATGAAAGTAAGAGGAGAATATTTCAACATTTACAAGTCGAACCTTGATGATGCAGTTATAGGGGATACATCTGGAGATTACAGAAACTTCTTGGTGACCCTACTTGGTGGCAAGATCTGATCCCTTCTGTCATGTTTACACTTTGAATTGGAGACCATGGATTGTTTGCATTGGTGGTTTAATATGATTTGTAATGGGAAAACCTTTCATATAAAAAAAAAAAAGAGAGAGAAAACCCGTATCAAACTCCTAAGTCTCAATTGTTACTATCTGTTTTCAAGTCTGATTGCTTGTCCATAGGTTTCATTGATGATTTCTCTGTTTTTATCTGATCGTTTACAGTATGAAGTTTTTAATTTTCAGCCAACTGAAAGCATTCCCCAGCATCATAAAGCCATTTTCATTTATACATGGGTTAAAGTTAGGAATAATACTTGAACTAAACTAAAATATGCAATAAGATATTCAAACTTTTAAAATATCTATTGTGATATCTTAAATATTAATTAATGTGATACTTAAGTTATTTGATCGTCACATGTCATTTTTAGAACTAATCACAAATAAAATAAATATTACATTAGTTAACAAATTCATAGTTTAAGTATCACGTTAACGATTTTTAAAGTTCATGCATTATATTAACATTTTAAAACCATTTGTGACATTATACCTTTACATATCCTAGATCCCTATTGCAATCCAGAAGAGAACTGAAACACATATGCTAGTGTAGCTTTCATTTATAAATGGATAAATAAATAATATAATAGAAAGAGAGTTTTGTTCCATTTCAAATGCCATCCAAAACTATATCTATAGCTTTGACAATATTACAGGCTAAATTCTCATCATCAGCAATTATAACAGTACCAGTTTCTCCAACATTGATCAAGGCTTTCTCGGGATCATGGATGTCTATAATACCAGCAGCATTTTCAGATTTAGCATCATCCATGACTTGTTTTATGGTTCCATTAATGCCCATCTTGAACAACTCAGTCAGAAGCCTTTTCAAATCTGGTGAACCCCAGTGTACTCATGGTCTTTCTAGCTTGGAGTCTGCTGGCTGGAACCCGGAAAGTAACCGATGTTTGCCATGATCCATGAAGAGCTCTCCCTCCAGCCTTGTGATTGTTTCCTTTTTCAACGTTTTCCGGTGGAGCTTGGAAGCCAAATCTGTTGCAATCTCTATATCTGTGCTCTCCTTCAAGCTTGGTATACGTAATGTTTCATTTTCAGAGTAGAGAAAAGTTGCATTTGCTTCTGAAATTTGGATCTTGCAGCTCAAATCCTTTGGGAACTGTCTTAAACAGGAGCAGAAAGTGATTTTAGAAAAATAAAATCTTATACAAGTGGAAAGCAAACATCAGAAAAAGTAGAATAGATCACCAGAACTAATTTTGGCTGCAATATCTTTAGTAAGGGTTGAACTTTCTGCAGCCTGCCAGAAAAAGACAGAAACATAAATGCAATAGTATCTAAACCCCGAGACAAACATATCTTTCGTATGAAGAAGCAAACAATTTGATGTAGTAATAAAACATTCCATGTCATCAGATATTAGGGCAAGCACGAGGAATTTGCTTAAAAGATAATCCTAACTAGTGTTAAAATTCTTTATGGATACTATTTGTGTGTATGTGAGTGTGCATCTTTTTGCGAGGGGAAGAGAGGGAGTCAATAAAAACCTTATTCCAGACAGAAAGGAACACTGAAGAACCTTCATTGCCATTGGTTTGAAAGGCAAGAGAGCTAAGTCAGCATCAACACCACTCTGCAAAATTCACATAAATTTATTCCATTGCTCAAAAGCATTCATAATAAGATCATATTAAGTTTAATAACCGGCCATAAACAAATATTGCAGATGCTTTGATAAAGCATAGATGCAAGGAAGCACCTCAAGGACAAGTAAAGAGTTTGGATCTGAGCACCAATACCAAAGCAAATGAACAACTCCAGTGAGAAGAGAACACAATACAAGGTTCCTGCCAATTGGCTCTATGTATATAATGTTAGCGTCTCATAGGAAATACATGATACATGATTACCATAAAAGTCGTTAACCATACCAAACTGATTACAAAGTTCTAAAGGCATTTTAATGATTTATCAATAAGTTACATTTTACTTCCCTAATACATCTTTCTTTCACATTGAAATCTAATTTATGTTACTAGAACTTGGAGTGGGCAGGAAAAGAGGCATTGGCATTTGGTTAAACATATGACAAGTGGCACCAAGTATCTTGGTAAGTAATCAATAACACTCAAATTAAGACTTATTTTCTCACAAGTCATGAAAAGAGCATGCTGCAGTCAACATTTTCCATTTATAAGGGTAAACCATCAGCAGGTAATAGCAACAGAAACAAAAGGGCATATCTTACAATAATTCAAGTGAATGAACTGCAGGAAACACATGAACTTTCCTCTCTTTTATGAGCTTGACATGTCCAAACAATGGTTCACCAGACAAAAGCTGCCAAACCAACAAACAGAGAATGAAAAAGGTCCTTTATTTATATTGAGACAATAAGCCACTTATTAAGATGTACCTTCTCTTGCCGCTGCTTGCAAAGCCACTCTGGTATTATATTGGTAAATGCCAATAATTCTTCTGCCACAGAAGATATAATGTATATGGGAACCTGCACCACAGATATATAGCATATGAATTAGCAAAGAAGCATGAACTGATGTAATGAAAGTATACAAGTTAGACATCTTTAATTTTTCTCCTATTTAAAGAACTGCTCAACCAGAGAACTTAAGTTATAAGGTCATGGCCTTAAAATAGATTTTAGTCTCTAAAATGCCTACCAATATAAAAGCCTTGGGTTTTAAAACTGTGGACAAAGCCAAGGCCTGCCTCACGCTGTGATTATCAAAGATGTACAAAGGTGCAGGCCCCAATACCAAGGTATCATATCAACCATATATCTGGGTAAGACCACTTCAGTTTTAGTTAGTAGAAATTCATTATGATGCAGAAACAATAATTTTTACAAACAATGATTCCAGCTGTGAAACAACAATTCTCTCTCTATAGCTCTCTCATATTGGCTCCTTTGTTTCTTTTGACTCTAAGCCTCGGCATCTATATGTCTTCAAATGTCCTTAAGTAAAGGAGTAGCTACACATGCTAACCCAAAAGAAAGAAAAAAAGAAAAAAATGAATACTTTTAGAGATGAAGACTCCAACAAAAGTGACATATGCTCCAAAAGGCACAGAACAGTTCCAAGCCGATCAATAGTAACAAGAACTGATCCACCTGCTTTAACAGAATCAAGGGCACAGGTACATAGAAAAGCTAGTTTCTCCATTTCCTCCATACTTTCATCATCCTTGAGTAAGGATACAGCCATCTCTTCCAAATTGTTGACACCATCACTACACTCATGAGACATAGAATTTCAATTCTACCATACTAGCAATCTAATATATATATATATATATATATATATGTTAGATTGCTAGTATGGTAGAATTGAAATTCTATGTCTCATGAGTGTAGTGATGGTGTCAACAATTATATATATATATAGTATTCATTAACAGAAAAAGCATCCCAGCAAAATTAGTATATCATTACCTAAAAGCAGAATTACCGAACATTTGATGAACTGAGAGTAACTGGATCAAAGTAAGTATTATCATTCTCCATATTTTCTGTAGCACCCAGGGATGAGAAATCTGAATATATTATCAAATCATTCCCACAAAGTCCAAGGAAATTGAAATCCATCGCATGTGTAGAAACAAAGATAGAGCTTGAAATATAAGCTATATTTCTTTTTGGACCATTTATCATCCAATTGCAGGTCCCTATTTCCAAACCAGAGCTGAGTGCTTTTATGATCAAAGTTCCATTGTAGCAAGCTTCTTCTGCAGATTTTAGTGTTTGAACCTTCCTCATGCAATCCTTCAAATCAACTGCACTGAAAAGCACACTCCATTAATTTCTTATAAATCAACTTCTACATTCAGAAAGCTGTAAAGGATTAAATCTGGATAGAAAATGCATTTAATAGATGCAACAGAGATCGGTGGTCATACAAATTAAAGAATTGTTTAGCATTCTAAAAGCAGTTTTAGTTACAAATTCACCAACTGAATTTGTTATGGAAAGGATCTCAACTCAACCATGACTAATCAGAACTGAGACGTGAAAACTAACATAATCTTCTACAAGCCTTGAAATCAAAAGGTGCACCAGATTAATCTACACATAAATACAAACATATCATCTAAGGCATGATAATTACCCGTACAAAGGCATCCAAGCTCATGCTCCTCACAATCTTTGCCTAATACTATTTTCTTCAGTTCTAATGGAAGCAGTTCAAGCTCTTCCCACCTCATCCATTGAGGGAAACAAGAATCTTCAGGTCCATAAAATTGCCTAAATTCCATGTGCATTGAAACAAGATCCTCCATCAAGAGCTGTCCTATTCTCGCTGTTGCTTCAGTGACATATACCTGACCAGGTTAAAAAGCAAAGCTCAGCAAACAACTTTCAGCTAAGGCTAACAAATATCAACATTTAATATTCTTGTTTTAAAATGAAACACTTCCCAAACTCTAGTTACCTTTGCAGAAAAGTCCTTGGTTCGAGTAAGAAATGGCAAGCCAAGCATGCCCCTAAGAGTTGAGATCGATCAATAAAGGAAGCATCGCATAGGTGCAAATTTTTTACAGTTTTATAACAAGGCTCAGCATGTACTAAATCAATTGCATCAAAAGTTTTTTTGATCTTCTTCTTTTTCCTAACAACCGAGTCCGTATACAAAGACCCATGGGCCCCAGGAGCAACTGGAACAGGAGTGAAAATAGCAAGAGATGAAAGGTCCAAGGCGCAATCAAGTAAAATCCTAAACCCGGATACATTAAGCATAATAGGAAATGGAAACCACAACCCTTACTAAGGCATGTCCGCAAAAGCACAAACTCAATGAATTCCTCTAAACCAGAATTCAAAAACACATACACATATAAACCAACTTACAGACTCAGCAACAAGTTCATTTAATTAATAATGTTAGCTTTAAGTACCATTTGATTCCAAAAGCAAACAAAAAGTGCCTTTGCATACAAAACCAAAAACATAATTTTGAAGAATCAAAAATTAAAAAAAAAATTCTTTTTTTAACAAAATTCATGAATTTTGCAGAATTGGTGGTAAAATATAGTGATTATATTTGTTCATTATTAACTAATTACAATTTTATTTAACAAAAGAAACAACCAAATGGAAATCTTAAAAATCTCTACTA